GGCCGCGCCGCGCATGCGCGCCGGCCCGCCCCGCCTCGCCGCGCGGGCTGCTGGGAGATGTAGTCCCGCCAGGCGGGCCCTGGTGTGAACGAGTGTGTGGCCTGGTGTGTCTTGGTGTGAAGGAGACACTGACCTTGGTTATGAGGCACATGGACGCGCATGCGGCTGTGGGGAACGCTTACAGGTAACATACCAACCGCATACGCGTGCTACAGTGCAAAAACAGCCTCTAATCTGTGCGTAAAGGTGTGTGTGTATATATATATATATGTATATACATAAACCAATTATGTCGTAACTCAGCTACGACTGAGCTTTGGGTCATAAGGAAGCTATTCACAACTTGCCCATTACCTTAAGAATTACAAATATCCACCCTCTTAGTGGTTTATATCACACATTTCTACACAGAACAGTTTAAAACAGAGTTACTGTAAATTTGGTTTTAGTATCTATATAGCTAAAAGGTCTCTACTTGTTAACCTGATAGAGAAGCAGACCCACTTTCCATATCTAATATCTAAATATGCCAGATATTTTTCATAAGTAATTCAATTATTCAAGCTATTGCAAACACTTCAGCTAACCCTTAAACACTTAGACCTTTCAATTCCCCCCAACCAGTCATACCTGCAGAAATGTGTTTTTCTCACACTAATGACTAGCAGAAGTGTGTTCATCTGTACAAGCTGTTCAAATCAGTGCTAGCAGAATAGTGTTACATCATTAATATTTTCAGAGTATAAAACTATGATGCTGAGAGGTCTGAAATTCATACAGAAACCCTCCGTTTGACTTGACCATTTGTTAATTTGCATTTTGACATTGCTATGAATGTTGACCCTGGTTCATCCAAAAATACTCAGTAAAATTAGTCTAAACTCAAAGTGAGCTATATACTTACATAAGGTGTCACTGACAGTAGTTTTCTAGGATCCATAATCAACTTCTCTTACTCCAAATATCACTTTCACCTCCATTTAAAACATACCTTTAGGAAAAACTGTTATTAGATTCACAGAAGTCACACAACATACAACTAAATCCTTTCTTTAAGAACAAGTTATGTTCAAATTGTACTGGTTTATTTACAACCGTAGTTTATAAACAGTAACACAAACATTTTTACATGAAAAAAATCTCATTGCTGAAGTAGGCACAGGGTCAGAGACTCTTCATGTTTTCAGAAGGGTGTAGGAAGAGGAAAAAGTAATACAACAGCTGCAAAGGGAAAACTATAAATACATGAGCATTGGCCCAGGTGCAATTTCATGCAAATATCTTTAACAGTTCAAGTTCTATTGGTGTTTACTCAGATACTAAGAAAGGATAGGAGATATTAAAAAAAAAAAAGAAGTCCCAGAATTAAGGTGCCTCAGCTTGATTCCTAGTAAAATAACTTAGAATAGCTGTTTTTTATAAAGGTCAGTTTCATTAATTTGATCTCATGAGTTATACCAATCCATGGGCTTTGACTCAACTACTCCAAAGACCCTGCACAATACAGCTAATCCCATTCACCACATCCCACAGGTTTTGATAATTTGCACAGAGGCATTGCTGGACTAGGTGTGCTGGCAAGAGAACCACCCCTGGAGGAGGCGGAAAGCTGCAGATGCACAGCAACACAGCTGCCAGGTCTCAAACATTACCTTCTTTAGAAGGTGTTAGTTAAAGAACATAAAGGTATACTTAAACCAACAAAGGCAAAAGGTCCTGAATACATTTATCACAGACATACAGTGCTTGAATCACCACGTGTTTAATTTTTTTGCAGAACAAGACACATTCAATAGTGTTTCAACTCTGTGTTGAATTATTATTTTTTTTTCTTTTTTTTTAAACAACTCCAATTAATAGCTTGGTCACTTCACTTCTGAGGAGCCAGAGAACTTGTTGACCATCATATTTTGTTATGAAAAAACTCCGACCTCAATGTATAAACTCACTTTTACATGAGAAACAGTCTCAACCCATGAAATGTAAAATTTTGCATAATTACAAAACTGCAAACCTGTAATAAGTTTATTAGTATGTACAATTCAGTTTGGTATTTTAAAATGCGTTTAACTTATCAATTCCAATTATTTAACCTAGTAGGACATTTAAAAAAATTAATTTCACAGTATTTTTTGATTTTTTAATTCATCTATAGTTCAAGTGCACTTAAACAGACTCCAATCATTTTTTATGAGAAGAAAGCTGTATTTGTAAGATTTCACCTGCTCTGTTTACAAACTGGAGTGTCTTTAATCAGTCCTTGATACTGTCCAGGAGGCAAAATCAAATTTAGAGACTGCAGGTTATGGAGATATTTTACTACCAGATGTCCAAATCATTTAAGACAGCTCTGTTTTTTACTGTTAATCCATACCTGACAGTTCTGCTTTCTTTTAACACAGTCATATGAACACAACTACATTCTACATCCTCTCTTACAAAGACGCACATCATACACATTAAAGCTTCTTTAAAAATGAAACAAACTGACCTTTATAATAAACATTTCTGCAGAACCAGAAAATATTAATCAAAAAGAAAAATTAAAAAACTGCTTAGAAATTGATAATAATTTACCCTATCTTAAGCCTGCTACTCAGGCACTGCCATCAGCAAACAGAAAAATTCTCGTAAGTTAGTATTCAGTTGGGAAGCTGTGAGCCTGTGTCCATATACAGTATCTTGGTTGCTCCTTCTTTACAAACTGTTCTCTGAAAAGTCTTTAGTTATTAACTTTCCAAGGCATCCAACACTTTCATGATCTGTTGTTTTATGGCTTTGGTAGCATCACCTGCATTTGGAATCAAATACCTTAAAAAGAAAGAAAAAAATCATTAATCTACTATAAAACTCCACAATTCTTGCCTTGATTTTTTCCCGCAGGAAGGTCTGATGTGGAAAGAGAAGGGGAAGCTACTAAAGATTTAGGAAGAGGAAATAAGATTTATTTCTAATTTATACCATGGAATGTTTTCCCTGTGTGAGCCTTGCACTGGTGAGGAGTACTTCACAGGCTGTCCTGGAAAGGAGAAGACCTTCATGAACTGCCAAAGGCACAGAATAGATAGCTCAAGATCTCTCCGATGCCAGCACTGCCTTACTGATACACGGCAGCCTCCCTTTTATTTTAGCTATGGTGTTCTAGGCTTTCTTCTACTCAACTCATTTCATTCTGACCCACCAGCTGGAATTACCTTCCTTGTGAATTAGGCAACTCATCACCCACTTCTCTTGGGAACAGAGCACCCACTTCACACTGTTCTCCCCAAGGAAGAGGAAAAGGGTGAGAAAACAACCAAACATGTTAGCAACTTTGCTAAAGGATCCCGTTGAGGGATCTCTTTCACATCAGTGTAACTGCTCCTGAATAAAAACTTACCTTTGAACCCAGTTCTGGGAAGCACAGCATGCCTCTGACCTCCAGCACCGTCTGCATCACTACTCTTTGTATGACTGCTACAGGCACTGCTTACCTTTCAACTGCCAAAATTTCTATGCCTGAAGTATTGCTATTTCCATATTTAAAGGTGATCAGTTCTGGATGTTTCTTCTTGGATGTGATTTTGACTACGGAGTTAAGTGCTTGGCGAGACTGTATGTAAGCCAATCCCTTCCGCGACGGTATCTCCCTCAAGCAGTACATGTGGGTTGCAGTTACAAGGAGGTGACTTGAAGGGAGAAAAAGATACCAAATAAGTTTGCTAATTGACTAAATATCAGCTGTTTACAAAGGTAAATTCTATGGCTACATCAAAGTATGAGCTAGTTTAAAAAAAAAAAAGAAAAAAGAAACTAAGTTTAAGTTCAATAAGCAGTCCTATATTTTAAACTCTTCATTTAGAAAGAACAACAAAACACTTCAGATGTTCAAGAATGGAATCATGACACACTTCAGGCCACTTTTTTTAAAAATCAAAACAAAACAAAACAATGTTTTGTGTATTTACTAGCATTCATTCTATTACCAGCATGAAAAATATAAGAAATGTGATAATGAGTAATATTTTGTTCTAGGTTGTCTAAACTTCATTTTCCAGTTTTATATCAAAAATAATTTAACAGTCCAATAATTAAAAATATATACATATATGTACCTTGACATTTTCATAAAACTTAAAACTGATTCCAGTACCTGGGAAACATATGTCCACTTTCTTTTACTTCATTACAAGGGAAGTTATACTTCACATCAGGCTTATTTATCCATGTTTGGATGTTGACAACCTCTTTTCGATCATCATCTGACATTGAGGAGCTGTCAATTTCATCTGTTTTGAACACGGGGGTGGTTAAAGGAAAAAAAAGGAATGAAAAAGAAGAAGAAATAATTTTCACATGATGTCAGACAGCCTTTCAACTCTCTTAAAACAATTAATAGCTTCTTGGGTTCAAACTCAGGGTCCATCTCACTCCCTGTTGTATATACAGTAGCATCCATAAAAGGATGCTCAAAGAGGAAAAAAAAACAAAGCATGAATATTTAACATTTTCCTATTAATTCTCTCTCAGAATACAAATATTTTCAGCTTAGGGGATTTCTTAAGCTTGAGCAATTTGTCCATTCATTAAACTTCAAAAGATGCATGTACTTGGTCCAGCCTTTCATCGAACTCACATAAAGCTTTAGCATCGTAAAATATTGAAGCTGTGTGGCCAAGTGTTGTCAGGAACATTCCAGGTGATTTTGCTAATTCCCCTATGACGACCTAGATTTCTGAAACTACATGAACCTTTTACCACTCATAATATCTTGTGGTAAAGAACTCTGCAAACGATTTTATGCATTTGGAAAAGAAGCTTCTTAGTTTTGAAGCTTCTACTTTCTAGTTTCATTTGTTTCATCTTAATTCTTAGTAGACAGACAGTGGTTAATTGCTTCTCATCAATCTTATTTAAACTAATTCAGATTTTATAAGCCCATCAGTAATATTCATAAGTTATTCCTTTATGTCAGATTCCTAGCCTAGTTATGTGTTTCTCATTTGAAAGCTGAATATGTCTTTGGATTACAGGAGAAGAGCTACCTATGAAAAGATGAGGGAGCTAGTGCTGCCAAAACAGAAGCTCAACAGAACAGAACAGTAGGTCCTCACCATTCTAACACAGTTATCTCAGAAAAATGTGTGTGGAGAGCGTGGCGTCCAAGCTTTCCCTGTAATTCATCAACTAGCTCAAACAAATAAATAATTGCAAGCATCTTCTACGACATTCTGCAGGTGTATCAAAAGATGAGCCAATTATTGATAGATTTGATGCTAAGAAGCAAAATTTAAAACACTGTAGAGGTTTGCACATTTTAGTCATCCTCTTAAGTTTAGCTGCCAATGGTACTTTTAAAATGCAGATACTTATGCACTGCTGCCCCTTCAGGTTCAACCTTGGAGCTACCATGTAAAACAGGTCCCTTAAATTTTGCTTGCTGTTTTGAATATTAAGGGAACAATAAGATCAGCACAGAAAGAAACAAAACAAACAAACAGATCTTTACACAGGAAATATTGAGTGTACACAAAGAATCCACTAGACCATCTGATTCCATGTGTTCCTGTTGGTCGGTTGAGTCCACCACAAAGTCTTTTTGTTGCTCTTTGTTTGCTACTATGAATTTGAACGAGTTTCTCTTTTAATGAAATTATCTAGAGTCTTTTTGTTGCTGTTTGTTTGCTACTATGAATTTGAGCAGCGAGTTTCTCTTTTAATGAAATTATCTAAACGAGATAATCTAGTTAAGAGGAAGATCTCCTACTGTACCCGTATCATATTCTTCTTCATCTCCAATGCTGAACACTGGCTTCACACCCCGGTAGGGCTTTCCTACTCTGTCACTGCTGCTGATGTGTCTGCAGGGGAAGGGGCAGGAGAAGACAGGGAATGGGAAGAAGGAAGAAAAGTAACTTTCAGACTGATGGCATAATTCCTATAAAATAACATGCATTAACAGAACAAATATTTGCGCAGCTGAAGAGGGCATAAAGCTGCCTGCAGGGAAGCTGGGACTGACCCATCAAGCAATTGGGTTAGTGAATTCAAGTAATTCACAATTACTTGGCAAGGCTGAATACTGTAACAAATACACCAAAAAGCAATATTCTTCATTTTAAATATAGCTTCTGACGATATTCTCAAGCTGCAAAATATGTTAGGAGACCTGAAATCTGAAGAAATGCTATGAAATTTTCAGGGCCAAAATCTGAGCTCTATATGAAACATTTCTCAACATCCAGCACAGATGTGCAAAGATGCCAAATTCAGGTGGAGGAAAAGTCAGCAAACACTAACGTATCTGGATATTTTTTTCCCTCTGGTAAATGAGTGTTTCCTAAGAGAGACTGTCTCAAAAAGGTAACAAAGTACCTTAAACATTTCAAAGTCATATAGTGTGAACTCCAATTCTTTTTCACTACTTCAACCCAATCCTATTTTTGGTCAAACAATCCGTGCTGGGAATTGCAGAATCACTTGGATTTCTGCAGAGATTCTAAATATAAAAATTGGATTTAAATCTGCTTCTAGAGAATCTGCTTCATGTTAAACTACACATAGAAATAGGATTTCTCAGCCTCAAAGTTTGACAGCAACAGTTGCCAACTTGTGTAATATTTCATTGCTCAAGGTCAGAGTGACGAGACTGTACGAGATGTCACAGCTGTCATGTTAAAGTCTGTGGCCCTCAACTGCAGCGAAATACCTCAAGAAAAAAAAAGTATTTCCTATAAACCGTAAGACCTCCTTTGGGCTTTAAGGATGTTCACATACTGCAGTTTTATGTGCTACTGTAGAACCAAAGCTCAAGTCCGAGAAGCTGCTTCTTCAGCGATACATAGGGAAATGCTAATACTTTGGTACATCTAAAAGCATACTTGAAAGTTAAAAAAGGATTCTACATTTTCCATGGCTAAAATTCCCTAGTGTAGCTAGAATGAGGAGTTGTTAAATAGGAAAAAAATAGAAATGTCTTTTGCAAAATATAAAAATACACATACAACACCATGCTTATTAGTGCTCAAGACAATAAGCATCAATGACACTGACAATTCAGGAGGGCAGTGCTTCTATATGCAGATTTGCCTAAATATGGACTTTTTCTAGGAAACTAATAGTTAAAAACCTTAACTATAATGAATTTAGTAAGCAGATACATGTCAAAAAGGGTTGGATTGAAACACATACAGCATTTAAGAGGAAACTTACTGGCAATTTATAGAGCAAAGTTAGTCAAGGTGAAAAAGGAAAAAGTTACTTGATAAAAGCCTCTGAACATCTTAAACTAGGAATGAATCTCTCAACTTGTTTGCATGGAATCACAGAATCACAGAATGCTTAAGGTTGGAAGGGACCTCTAGACGTCATCTAGTCCAACCCCCCTGCACGGCACCATTACATTGTTAATTTAATGCAATTCTGTTCAAATCTGCATTCTGTTCAAACCATTTTGCAGAATTGCAAAATGAAATTTATTGGTAATAAAGTGAATCTGACGAATGGATGGGGAAAAATGTCATTACAATTTTTTTTGGAACAATATAATTGATTGAAGAGAGTAGTCTAATGATCCAAAGTCTGAGTTTATTAATTTATTAACTGCCAAATGGAGAGAGATAGCCATTCTCAGCGAAGGAAGCAAATATAACAAAAACAAAATTAAAAAACCTTCCCAAATCAAAATTATTACAAATACGCATTCAAGAGTCCTTCAGTAACTCAGCACAAGGTGTTTTAGCCAGGATTGTTACACTTTCGT